TGGTCGTATTTAGGAGTTGCTTTCCTTCCCCACGACTGGCCATTAATAAACGACTACAAATGCATCCGCGAACCCCTCCCGGGTTCGAATACCTTTCCAGCACGCTACTCGTACAAGAGTTTCGGTGCGCAAAGTATTTGGTACTGTGTAGCCTTCGGGTAAAGCTCCAGTACCACTCAGAGGTTGGTGTTCTGTAATTTGCTGTTATATATTCAAAGAACACACACCACAATCAGTTGACCGCTGAAACTTCAAACAGCGACCTGGTGGCGTGGTCTAATTGAGAGATAGCCTACTGGTCAACATGAACTCGAAGGTTGACGTCTCCACTGGCATTTCCAGAAGACCACAGTGGTTAGGGATCCGACTTTTTGACCAATTTGTCCGATCCTTACTCAAACAGGTTGGCAGTGCATGTTGTGCGACTGCTAACCTAACAGACCCGAGAGCTGGTGTTCGCTGAAGGCCAGTAAACAGTGCGGGGCTCTATTCAATAAATGCTATCCTGGGTGTGTCCAGGAGGCAAATTTTGCACTGCAGTACCAACTAAAGTCATGGAGTACAACCAACATGTCATACTTACGGCAACCTGATGCGATTAACACAGGATCTACGGGAAACATTAAAGCTTAATGTAATGAAAAACGCTTGAATATATGTACCACGGAAATTAACTATTACGGTTCCAGTAAGGTCTCAACACTAGATCAAGCTTATGACATATACACAATGAAACAAATGTGGAAAATGTTGGGAGAATGAAGATGTGAAACATTATATAGCTGTCCACAGTCAAAAATCGTTGAGTTAGAAACTGAACGCGTGCCGGATGGGACAGAATAAATATAAAATAGGAGAGCAGCATCGTAGACCTGATCTATTACAAAGTACAAGTAAACAGGAAAATCATACAAGGCTGGCACCCGGCACTTGACCAAAACACAAAACGGTGGGAGAACACAGTCCCAGAAAGCTCAGAAGAAGAGAGTGCTCATTGAGCCACCCATCTCATTTTGTTCCCGAACAAAGACTTCGTAGTACTGGTAGATAGTTGTCACTGCTAAGAGAATACCGGTTCCACTGCCAATTGCGCCTTGAGGGAAATGAAAGATCAAACCATCGAATTAAGGACAGAACATTTTGACGCTTAGCTGAGTTAAAGCAATCGGGTGGTGTGGAAATTAACTATTTGCTTCTAAGAAGATTGTTGCGTCTTTGAAAGCAGTAAGCAGGAACCGAGTGGAAAGAAATCAGATCAAGATTTAATCGCAGCATGAAGATATACTTAAACATTTAAATAATTCACTTCTAGCTCTGTAGGGTTTTCGAAAGCTAGATTGAATCATATGGAGCAAAAGCACCTTTATTAAGATACTTAAGAAATGTAAAAACATGTATACGAGTATGGAAGAGCAGTTGAGATAGTCTACACTTTCTAAAACTGTCATGCATTAGAAAATATAAACTATTTGGCACGCCAAATTATTCCCCTAGTCGGTAAGAGTAAACAGTTAACATCAAACGAAGCTTAAATCACCAGAATGACTTAAGCGGCTGTATCAAGAGCGCTAAGGAAAACAGGGCGTACCGAGGAAGTCAGCAACTACCGAAAGGGCACCAATCCAAAGACCTCCGAGAGCCGCAGCAGTTGGGATATGACGATTAAGTTCGTGGACCATGGAGTCCTCACGGTGACCGGGAATCACAGTCTGTTGCTCCCTTAGTTGTTTTGCGACATCCTTAGCACTTGAATTAGAGACATCAATCCAGATTTTGCTGAAGAAAGCGCAACTACCGAGCATAAACGCGATATAAATAACACCGTGGATTGGATCCATCAGCATTTGTGTAAAAGAATCCGGTGGTGTCATGTAATAGCATAGACCACCAATGGGCGCTGAGCGGGAACCGCCTTCACCATCAGACCAAATTCCCAGAAGATTTATCAGAAAATTGCCTCGGAATTTGCTGGAGAGCATCTGTAACCAATAGTGAATCTGTTCGGTGGTAAACATACCTGCGAGATAACATAAAGGTTGGAAACCAGAGCACTCTGTAGCATGATTGGCGCGTTACTAGTGTAAAACAGTTTGATGGGGTATGAAGTTGACTGTCCACGATGACGAATGGACTTCACCGCAATTTCCACCCGGAAACTCTAAGAAATCAGTGGATACAAAGATAAGACAAACCTGAAAATATATGACGACAGCGAAGACCAAAACAGTAGCAAGAATATTCATGAGATTCGGCAAGTTCTGGCGATAGAAGGCTTCTCTGAGGGCACGAACTTTGTCCGTCCTCGTAGCCAAAAGATGGAAAAGTGATATGATTGCCCCCTCAAATTCGGTACCTGAGGCGTAAAGAGCATCTTACTAACTGGATCTTACCTCGGCCTGTGTTAATTGTCGTCGGGCTGAAGGCTTTCCAAATTATCGTTTCACAGATGTTGGTCGCTATGAACAAGGAGATTCCAGAACCTAGACCATAGCCTTTCTGCAACAACTCGTCCAGCATAAGAACAAGTAGCCCGGCGAAAGTAAGCTAAAAAATTAAGAAATCAGTGGACGGCAGTACCTGAAGGATGATCAGAAGGCAGATCCCTGCACCAAGATCACTGGGGGCGCCGTATATGCCCGACATAACGTACACAGAAGCTTGGCCAACAGTTATTACCATACCGAATACTAAATACGATAAAGAGTTTGATCTGCAACTTACGTTTTTGTGCTCCG